TAGCAGCCACACAAGCCAGTAAAAAGGCAATATGGTTGAAAATAACACTGAAGGAAATCGGGTATGAACAAAAGAAATTTTCTCTATTTTGTGATAGCTAGATTGCTTTGTATTTGGTAAGAAATCCAGCTTTTCATTCAAAAACAAAATACATTCGAGTTCAGTATCACTTCATTCGTGAGAAAGTGGAAGAAAGAATAGTGGATATGCAGAAAATTCACACAAAAAACAACCTAACAGATTTTTTGACGAAGGCAGTCAGCACTGACAAGTTTGTTTGGTGTCAATCCTCTTGTGGTGAGATGGAAATGATGTAAGCAATATGAAAATGGCAAGATAGAAAGAATGGTGTGAAGATATGATTGGTTTTCGATCAAATCTTCAAGTGGGAGGTTGCTGAAAAGTAACAGTCAGTGTTTTCAATGCGCGAGGTGCAATGCGGGGAGCAAAGTCAGTTTATGCGCACATGCGTAAGGCGCAATGCGAGGCGCGCGCCCGAGCGAAGCGAGGCGCAGTTCATACCACAAAATTTTTGAGATATACAAGATGAATGAAAAATATATATATATATATATTTGTGAAATTTCACATAAAAAATATCAATGCCTCGAAATATATAAAATATATACTACCAGATCACAAGATAAAGTTTTAATCATTAAAGCAAATCAAGTTGTCTAACAAAAAAAAAAAAACAAAGCAACTAGAACACTTAAGGAGTATACTAACATTAAAGCAAAGCAAGCAATCTAATTAAACAAATCAAATAAGTAGCAAAATAATAGCCTAATGACTCAAATGACTAATCGTCCTCATTAACATCATCATCATCCCAAATAAGTAGCAAAATAATAGCCTAATGACTCAAATGACTAATCGTCCTCATTAACATCATCATCATCCTCTTCTAAGGGTATATCCTCCTCTTCATGACTCAAATGACTAATCGTCCTCATTAACATCATCATCATCCTCTTCTAAGGGTATATCCTCCTCTTTAGTCTCCTCATCAATATTAAACTCCTCTTCGTCTTCCGACTCAGAAACTGGCTCCATCATCCTTGACGATGAACCAATACCACTCGAAGACCCTCGAAACCTACTAGTTGATCTTAGATACATAGCATCATCTTCTTCAGCTCCCATCGCATCTCCTACGACACCATATGTAAGGTTGTCCTCACCCTCCACCAGGCCATTCTCTGCATTTTCACCTTCACCGAACTGCCCTAACTACCACTCGTTGCTTTCATCTATATCAGTCAGCTTAATCAGATCAATAGTATCTCTGCAGTTATATCTCTACTTCAAAGCTTGGTTGTACTTGCAGTAAACTAGATCTTGCAACCTCTTATGATCCAATTTATTCCTCTTCTTGGTGTGTATCTATAATTTATACAAATCAATCAAATTAATATTCATATCTCTAAGGGAATAAAATATATTTTGTTGAATAAAATAAAACTAATCATACTTGCTCAAAAGTACTCAAATTTCTTTCACAGCCAGAGGAACTACAAGTAAGGCTGAGGAATCTAACAACAAGCTTCTGCAACTAATAACTATATTGCTAAATTTAGTGAATTAAAGTATTAAACATGTACGTTAATTTTCATTCAAGTTTGCAAATTATTCAAATTTTCATACTAATATATTGTATCACTAACAACTATATTGCTAAATTTTATTTTTCTCTTTACAGGTTACAAATGACGAATCAAGTTTCAAATTTTAACTTTCAAGTCAACTAGTAGCACTACACCTAGCTCAAATAGTAAGAATCAATACTCGCAGTATCGCACATGAAATCAAATAGTAGCACATTTTCAACAATTATGACTGATATGTATTAATAAGAAACAAATAATTTCATGACTGTGCATTTCAACCAAAATTTAATCAATCAATCAAGTGATCAACCTCGTCTTAAGACTCTTAATAGTCAACCAAACTTTAATAATTACCTAATATCAATTAGCCTATTATTAATCACTAGCCTATTATTAATCAATTAGCCTATTATTAATCAAGTTATTAAACATCAATCAATCATTAGCCTATTATTAATCAAAATAGTCCACAAACCAAACTTTAATAATTACCTATTATCAATTAAAAATCAGTTTACTAGCTTACTATCTCAATCATTAACAGTCAAACATTCATGTGAGAAGAAGAAAAAAAAAGAAAAAAACTGCAGCAGGTAACAAGAAAATAAAAAAAAAGTGAAAAGACCGAAGATAAAGGAGAACGGAAGATTAAAAAAAAGTGAAAAGAGCAGCATGTAACAAGAAAAGAACGGAAGCAGCAGCAAGCGAGAAAATAAAAAAAGTGAAAAAAGAAATGAAAGCAGCAGCCAAAAAAAGAAAGAAACAAGAGAAAAGTGAAAGAAAGACCGAACAGAGACAACAAGACCCAAGTCAAAAAGAAAAGGAAGACCCAAGTCACCGAAGAAAAGAAAGGAAAAAAAAGGCAAAAGAAAAAAGAAAAGGAAAAAAATTACCTGATGCATTTTCCTGCTACCGTCGGTTGTTCGTCGTTTCCTGCTCGTCGCTGGCTTCTCATCGCTCTTAGGAAGTCGCCGAACTGGAAGAGAAAGGGAGAGACAACGAAGACCCAAGTCACCGAACAAGAAGACAATCACGCTAAAAAACGAACCAGGAGCCCTAATTCTTTGCTGTAACAAGTTAGATATGTTTTGACCCTTTTGGGTTTAAGCTTGAGTCGGGTTTCTACCCGATAGCCCACATTTTCTTAAGTCAATCGCACTAAAAAACTAAGGCGATCGCCTTCCCTGCACAAGCGAGGTGAGCGCCCAAGAGCGCCTTTAAAAACACTAGTAACAGTCACCATGTCAACAGTAACCATCTACCAGGTACAGTACACACCTACCACAAAATTACCAATATATAGCCCCCTAGTCTTAAGTTGAAATCATCCTTATGTAAGCAGGGGGGCTGAGAGAGGGAGCGGCAGGGAGGGAAGGGGCGGGGGCGGGGTGAATTCTTATTATAAAGCCAGAGGATTGTAACTTCTAAATTTTCCTCATAGTAAATTCTTCTATTCTTACCCGTAGTTTTTACCTTAAATTTATTTAGGGGGTTTTCCATGTAAAAATCTGTATGTTCAATTTTATTATTTACAAAACTAATATTCATCGTGACCATACTCTATTGGACCCGATTTTCCCCAACAACATTTACAGTGCTACACTGACTCTCATGGTTGGGGCTCATTCGGATGCACGCAATGTTGGATTTAATCTAATAAATCTATTTGTGGGCACATATGATTAATCAATGTGTATTGCTATCTTTCAGGATAACCCACTAAAGTGATCAATTAAGTTGGGTTAATTTGGTATTTAAATAAGTCATGGGGTTATATGTGCAGATACCAGGTTGTAATTATAATTTATTGAGGGGCTAAATTATAAAAGTACAACATCTATAAATAAGGGGTTATGGTCCCTAACCTAGGGTTACATTCTCTAATTCTCTACACCCCCATCTAGCTAGAGAAATTCGGTTTTAGAGAAACCCTAAGGTTAGAAGATCATCAAAAAACCCAAATCAAGATTTCATCCATGGATTCAGGTATAAGCTTCCGCTCTTTTGTTTATTGTTAATCTCTTTGAATTAATCATGGCTATATGGTTTTAGATCTCAAGTTTTGATTTAGATCTAACAAGTGGTATCAGAGCCACCTTGATTAATTCTTAGGGATTTAAGTTTTTTATTGGGTTTTTTATCTTAAATCTCTGGTTAAAGATTCAATTTTGGGGTTCGGATGAACAGTAAAATCGCCAGTAAACAGTAACTTTTTGGAATTTTTTTGGATTTTTCTTTGATTTTTCTTCAATTTTTCCAATTCTGGATCTGTTTTGAAAATAAAAATCAAAGGTTTTGGGTTTGGCGGTGGCGGTTTCAATTTGAAACCCTAAGGGTTCATGGCGAAAATTAAGGAGGTGGTTACCTCAAACGAACCTCGTGTTCGTTCAATTTTAACCGAGCTTCGTGCTCAACGAACCTCGCGTTCGTTCTAAAGTGAACCTCGCGTTCAACTCAGGTGAGCGTCAAGCTCAATTTTAACGAACCTCGCGTTCGTTCTAAGGTGAACCTCGCGTTCAACTCAGGTGAGCGTCAAGCTCAATTTTTAACGAACCTCGCGTTCGTTCATTTTCAGACTAACCTCGCGTTCGTACTTCAGACGAACCTCGCGTTCGTACTTCAGACGAACCTCGTGTTCGAACTTCAGACGAACCTCGCGTTCGGACTTCAGACGAACCTCGCGTTCGTGCTTAAGTGAGTCTCGTACTCAATACAGTCGAACCTCGCGTTCGAAGTTAAGGGAACTTCGTGTTCATTATGGTTAAGCCTCGGCTTTTCATGGGTCCACTTTGGTATACTTAATTTATTCAATTAAGTTATGGGCCCTAATTAAGCTGTGAGACCCCAATTAAGTTTTTGGAAATTCAGTTGATTTAAATTTTTTAATTTAAATCTAATTC